GGGGGGGGGGATGGAATGGTGGGGAGGAGGAGAGGAAGCCAAACTGAGCCTTCGAATCCAACCGACCCAAAAAGCCACTCCCGAGTGGAGGTTTTCGACGGTCAAAATCGGTCACAAATCGGTCACAAATCGGGAGAGGATCAAGTCATGCTTAGTAATTCACCCCTTTGGCTGAGTCCGCTCCGAATTCCGCCATTTTGCCGTTTGGACGCCGGCTTGTGGACCCTGAACGAGGAGCTTTGGGGGCTCCCTTGCTTCCTCGCCACATCCTTCACTGCTTCGGCCACCGCTATCGGCCACCGCTATCGGACACCGCGATCGGCCACGATGGGCGTCGAATCCAAGGAACCACTGCTGCACGACCTCGAGTCTGGGAGGCAGACGACGCCCGCCTCGCAGCGCACATGCACGCCATCGCTGTGGCTGCCCCCGCTCGCCTTTCTGCGACGCAAAAAGTTGCTCGTCGTTCTCCTGCTCCTGCCGGCCATCTACCTCATGCTCGTGTACAACGGCAACGCATCCACACCGTTCGACTACAACACAGCTTCCGAAGCTGGTGCGCATGTGCTCGACTCGCTGCAGTCGTCGCTCCACCACGCCGCGCCCGCGGTCAACGAGCTGGCAGGCAAGCTGCCCACCCCACCGCACCACTACGACGACGCACACCTCGACAAGGACGGCCACCTCCACAATGCGCTGCTGGACAGTCTGCATGTCGAAGGCACCTCCGAACTCGCCGCACTCAAGCAGAAGCTCGACCACGACCCAGCTGCGTCGGCTGCAACGTCCAAGCTGGATCTGGCGCTCCAGGTGGGCGAGATGACCAAGTTTGACGCCAAGGACGAAAGCATGCTTCTGCTTCTTCACGCGCTCAGAGACAAAAAGTTCACGCTCCAAGACGACTGGAACGACATCTTTTTTGAGCGCACGCCTCTGGCAGGCGGCCTCTTTGCCTCGCTCAACGCCGGTCCGACCAACAAGTTCACCCAGCTCCTCGCGCAGGTCGGCCTGCCCAAACCCTCCAACACCACCGGCCAGCCCTCTTCGCCCAAGTTCTCCATCCTCAACGACGCACACCAGCTCTACTCGCTCTCGCGCGCCGACTGGGTGGCACGCATGCGCGAGCCACTGGGACTCACCGTGTTCAGCAAGAGCTACTGCCCCTACTCGAAGCGCACCAAAGCGCTCCTCACCTCGCTCAACGCCACCTTCACCGTGTACGAGGTGGATTTACGTCCGGACGCGCACAACCTGCAGCCATTGTTGGCGCAGCTCACGCGCCACAAGACTTTCCCCACCGTCATGGCCAGGGATCACCTCGTGGGCGGCAACGACGATGTGCAGGACTTGAACAAGATCCATGCGCTGAACAGCATTCTTCAGTCCGTAGGCGCGCTCTGATACCCTCTTGTACACTCCCAATCCACTCGAGTTGCCAGACAACCGTCCTGCTTGAGTCTTGTTGTGAGCGTCGTTTGAGCTGCCAATCATACCCACCACCAAAAATACGCCGAGCAAAAGTCCGGCGCCAAAAAAAAAAGGCCGACTTTTCCAGCCGGAATTTGTTTCCTCGACCCAAAAACAACACTTTCACAGCTTGCTTCCTCGCCATCATCTCCATCATCTGCCACTCGCACACCTCGCTCGCAACCATGGACTCGGAAGCAGGGCCCAGCTCAGCACCGCTCTTCAAGAAGCGCTCCAAACCACAGCGCGCAGCACGCATCACCACCGCCATCGACGATGCTCCTGCACCCGAATCGACCAGCACAGCGGCACCCACCGACCCAGCTGCCGACGAGGAGCTGTCGGTGCAGGATCTCATCGCGCTTCGTAGTCTCGCTCGTCGACCGGGGGGCATCGAGCTCGACCGGCTCAATCGCGGCGATCGTCAGCGCAGACCAAACCAGCGTAAGAATGCCGACGAGGACTCCACCAAACGCATCTCGAATCGAGCCGGCGACGACGACAGCGACGACGAAGACAAGCCGCGTCTGGTGCGCAAGAACAACTTTCAGGGCGAAACAGGAACCGTCGACGTCGACAAACACATGTAAGTCCTGCCCTCATTCCCCACCCTATCTCACTTGGCCTCATGCTGACCGTGTTTGCATCTAGGATGGCGTACATTGAGGACGAGATGCGAAAACGCACAGGCAGTGCGGACACCGTCGACGCTGCCGCCATCGTAGCCGCAGTCAACGATCCTGAGGATGCGCTCTACGCGGTGGCGGAAAAGTACAAGGAGCTGCACCGATCCATCAAGCCGGAGCAGACGCAGGAGCAGCGCGAGGGCAACGTCGCCTTTTCCTCGGCCATGCTCACCTCGATCCCCGAGGTGGATCTGGGCATCGATGCGCGCATGGCCAACATCCAAGATACCGAAGCAGCACGGCGCGAGGCCAGTCAGCCAAAGCCTGCCCATCACGACGTCGATGAGGATTTCGCCAATGCAAGGTTTCAACGCGCCAAGCCACGACAGGATCATGCACAGTCTTCGAACCCGGGGTCGCGACCAGAACGGCGCCAGATGGCCACCGACCAGCTCGTGCTAGACCGCTTCAAGAAACGACAGCGAAACTTTCGATAATCATTCGCAATCCTAGATTGAATCTACACTCGGCGTCTGCGGGGGGAACTGCCACGCAGTAGCTGCGTTTCCGCCATGCTGATCTTCCACTCGTGCAGGAGCTGAGCGCTTGATTTGGCGTCGGTGTATCGATACGGCTGGCCATCGGCATGGCACTGCGTCTCTTGCTGGTCGGGTAGGGTGCCGTGGAGCATGTAGTTGCGCATGATGGTGTCGGTGCATGTGCTGGTATCCCTCGACGAGTGTCCGTAGCCGTGATGCGCGATGAGGCGCGCATTCTTGCCCATCTCCCGCAACAACCTCCGACCGTTGCGCAGTGGCGTGGCTGGATCGTACGCCTCGGCGATCAACAGCACTGGCGCCGAGAGATCGTGGTCAAGATCACCGCGATACACCTCTTTGGGCGCACCAAACGTCGCATTCCACTGTCGACACGGCAGGATGTCGAGGAATCGTCCATTGCCTCCAATCTCGGACTGCTCCACCATGTGCTTCCATAGTTCCAGATACCAACGCTCGCCGTTGGTTTCGACGTCATAACCGGGGGGCAGGGGGCTGTCGTACTGGTCGGAACAGATGACCAGCATGCCGAGCTCGTCGGACGAATGCTTGGCCACAGGCATGCTGGGGTTGTATTCCCACGAATCCAGCATTTGAGCGATCATGCTCGTGTTCCCCTGCAGCAGCTCGTGCAATCCCGCTGCCAGAGCGTCCCATCCAAACGGATTGTACAGCGCACCATAGATGAGCGAGATGAGCTGCGTGTAGCTGATGATCATCGGTCCCGACGCCTCGGTATGGCCAGCAAGGGGCCTCTCCACCAGCCGACCAAATAGCCCATCCATCGCAGTGATCAGATCGCTCCTCGTCGGTAGTGAGCTCGATCCAGGAAGGGATTGGGCGAGCTTGCACCGGTCTGGACCCGCATCGACACACTCGCCGAGCAAACCGTCCTGAAAAGCGGCGGTGATGTTGTCGAGCGCCGCCCATCCGAATCCGCCAATCCGACGCTGGTCGCGCACGTACTCGGTGCCATCGAGCATCAGCCTTCCCACTGCATGCGGGAACATGTTGACGTACGTCTGTCCGATGCCGGTGCCGTAGCTGATAAAGTATCCGTTCAGACGATCCTCGGCGAGTGCCTTTCTGATTTCGTCGAGATCCCTCGCGACGAATGCTGTGGTGAGCATGCCGGCTACATCGCCGTACTTGCGCTTGCATGCCTCGAAAATGGCTTGGTTCATGGCGTCGGCCTTGAGCATGGCGTCGCGCGGATCGACTTCGCGGTGAAAGCGCGTGGTGAGCAAGCTCCATCGATCGCGATCGGCGTCGTAGGGGAAGCACGAGATGGAGGGCTGCGAGACATTGACTCCACGCGGATCCCAGCCGAGCACGTCGAACGTATCGTCGGTGTACTTGCGTGCAAACTGCTCGGCTTTGCGCCAGACCAGACTCGTTCCCGATCCTCCCGGTCCGCCCGGTTCGACGACCATGGTGCGCTTGGACCGCTTGGGCGCATGTTGCAGCTTGGTCACTGCCAGCCTCGCAATTCTATCGTCCGAGGCGTTGGTGTAGTCGAGCGGCACATCGAGCCAGCCACACAGGTAGAGCGATTGGCTGCTGTTGCCGCGCGACCAGTGGTTCGGGTTGGGGTCGTACAGCCGCGCCCACGCCTCGAGCGGATGCGCCTCGTCGAGGCCCGGCGGGACCGTGGCGTTGGTGCACGGGAGAAAGTGGAAGGGGTCGTCCTTGTGCGGGAAGGAGCCCCAGTCCGAGTGGTGACGGTGGCCGTGCTTGACGATGCGGCCCTGCTGTAGTGCAGCGTCGAGTTGGCACCAGCCCAGAGCGCCGAGTGCGGCGAAAGCCAGCTTGGCCTTCCAGGACAAGCCGCCGCCGCCATCCCGGGCCGAGGGCTGCGTGGCGACCTCGGGAAGCAGCGCGTGCTTTTCGTCTGCCATCTTTGGCTGCATTGCGCAAAGTAGTGCTGGAGATGGTTGTAGAGATGCTCGACGCATGTACAGCCTCGGCTCACAGGGCCGCACACACGCACCCATCGTGCACGCAAGCTGTGGGTCCGAGCGCAAGACCCTGAATCCTCACCGCCGGTCCAGCGCGCCAGTCTAACAGATGACCCCTCTTCACTCACCGAGCACAACTCTTTGAAATCGCAGGAGACCGCAACCGGACACTTTTGAGTGAGAGAGAAGCACGAGCGGTACTGGCGTCTTGCAATCACACCTGCTGACTGCCTGGCAAGCTATTCCCCGCAAAAGTCTGCGCCGTGTCTTGCTGCCCAAAAGTCGGGACTGATGGGCTGGACTGGCAAGACTGCAGCTGGGTCCGGGTCGGACTGGTCTGCGGCGATATTGGATCCGACGATCGTCTCGTCCCCGGCCGCGAAGGACACCGAGCGTCCGCCCAGGCTGGGCCCATGAAAGAAGGTGAGATGGTCCAACACGGTCGTTTCGTCGGTCACGACATGGTTGCAATCTTCGGTCGAGCGTCGTGCGTTGTCGAGGACGTCGCCCATGTCATTCTCGATGTATACGCCCTGTCGATCCACAGCATAGATGATCTGATCGGAAGGATAGCCGGGAGCGTCGAGGCAGTCAAAAAAGTCGGCGAGGTTGAGCGTCTTGACTGCGACTGGATACGTGCGTTGCTGCACAGATGCACAGCGACAGGGCAACAAAGAGGCTCCACATGGCCGAGACAGCGATCAGTCGCAGGACTGCAATGATGGTTACGACGGCCCCGTGCGCAGCTGCAGCGCAACTAACATCCGGAGTTTTTGCGATTCCATCTTCCGACACCAACTCGCTGCTGAGCTTTGACGGATTGCCCCCTGAAAAGGCGCACTGGATTACGAATGCCAAGCTCATGGATCCAGACAAGGCGGTGTGTCGAGTGGAGAGGTGGCCGCCAGCTTGCCTCGTTGATCGCCTTTGGGGGGGCTTGGCTGCACATGCTTGGTCTCCACCAGATGTCACCGAACACCGCCCGCTGCGGTTGAAGGAGTGAGCGGCCAAAAGCGCGGCTCTCACCTCTTTCACGCGGCTTTCAAAACCTGCCCAAATGCGGCTGTCGCACAGTGCGGAACCGCGCCTCCACTAAACCACTCAAACACTCACACCAACGTTGCCACTCGCAAAAATCCAAAAAATCACCATTCGGGTCGAAACTTTTTGGTTTGGGCGGAGCGCAAATATACATATAGCCTCGGGTCGACGTTGACCTTAGCTTCCGTCCATCGGCATGCCCAACCCCGTTACAATGTCGACCGTGACTCTCGCTCCCACAACCCAACAGCCCACCTCGAAGACCGCCGCCGGCCTCGGTGGCGGCGACAAGGCGAAACATGCAATGACATCCACTTGGCCCTCTAAAGCGCAAGACCAACGCACAGCCTCCGAACGCCTGCTCGCCATGATGGGCCTCGCATCCTACTCGTCGCTCAAGACACCCGCTCCAGTCGAGCCTCCCGTCTATCCAAAGGACGCGCCTGTCCCCGTCTTTCCGCTCTGGAAGATGTACCTCTTCGTGTCACCAAGGGTCGCCGCTCCGCTCCTCGCCCACGCTGCATTCGAACACTTTACCGGCATCACAATCAACAGAGCCGCAGCAATGGCCTTGTACAGTATCAGCCTCATCTTCATCGGTATCAGCTTTGTACGGTGGTGCAACCGTACTGCTCTCCAATTCGGCACATTCGACGCCCAGGCAGGCAGAGACGGTGTGCCCGACGTCGACACTTGGCACGTCGTACGCGAGCTCCTCTTTATCGCCATCAGCCGCCCCCTCGTCGGCGTCTACTTTCTCTACCGCCCCGGAGAGCCTCTGCTCTCGCTAAAGAGCCTCGTCATGTTCCCGCTCAACATGTTCATCTACGCCGTCATCCTCGACTTTTACTTTTACTGGTACCATCGCCTCATGCACGAGGTCGGCTTCCTCTGGCGCTTCCACCGCAAGCATCACACCACCAAGCACCCCAACGCTGCGCTCAGTGCATTCGCCGATCACGAGCAGGAGCTCTTCGACGCGCTCATCATCCCCGCCCTTACATGGCTCACCTGGCGCATCGACTTTGCCACCTGGTTCGGTACCACCGTCTACATCCTCTACGTTGAGGCGTTCGGCCACTCGGGCATCCGCGCCTACTTCCAGATCCCCACCACCTGGCCCCTCCGCTTCCTCGGCTGCGAGCTCTGCATTGAGGATCACGACCTCCACCACCGCCAGGGCTGGAAAAAGTCTGGCAACTACGGCAAACAGACGCGTCTCTGGGACGCCATCTTCGGCACTTGCAAGCCCAGGATCGAATCCACGCAGCAAAACATCGACTGGAACCTCTCCACCCCGCCTCCCCTGCCCAAGCATTCCACATAGCTCGCAATCCACATAGACAATCTCGGAATCACTGCATATTTCCACACCGTGTGCAAACTTGAATTCGACCAGGCGCGGCGCTGAATCGATCAGCAACTCGTGAGGACCAACGAGCTCAGTGGAGAGCCTTTGCGCACCACCACCGCCGACCCGGTCCGGTTGCCTCCATCGCTGCAATCCCTGTAGTACCCTTCGAACAAAGTGGCATCGCTGTAGCTCGTCAGATATCCACACTGTCCCACCGGGATCCAGCTGGTGTAGATCACCTTGGACGAGTACGATTGGGTGTAGGCACTCGAACCAAAAGTGGCCTGTAGATCCAAGTCCTTCACGGAGCCACCTCCGTCGATAAAGTACTCGGTCGAGAAGGTGAGCTTCTTGCCCTCGCCAATAGATACGGTGCACGGGCCACCGGATTGCCTGCAATCCACCTCAGCCGAGGTTTTCGCGAGTCGGGATGTAGTGACATTGCCTCGGTCGGTCGGTAGGAAGCTCTTGCACGTCACATCGCGTTTCTCCTCGACTCTGAGATCGTACGACGTTGAGGCTTCGTGGCCATCAAGCTGGGCCGAGGAGGCGTACACCATCGGCTGACCAAAGACAGCCGAGACGAGGCAAGTGAGCAGCGTGATCAACAAGAGACCTCGGGCAACTTTCACCTTGCCACCCGCCGAGCTGCTGGCGGGATTCGTGCAAGCCATCCCCTGCCCGCCGTTGTTCGTCTGCGAGTAGTTGAGTGCGATCACCGGGATGTCCACCTGGTTGGTCGTCAAGCACCGGTTGCGTCGCCCGTCGAATCCGGCCTCGAACACGCCTGGGCAGTTGGTGCTGTTGAACAGCGACGATTCGCAGTAGTACAGCGTAGCGTTCTGCATGGTTGTGTTCGGCACGAGCGTCAACAGAAGCTGTGTGGCTCGGTGTGGCAATTATCGAATCGTGGTTGAAAGGTTGATGCCAGAGAGACGAAAGGATTCACAAACTTGATATAGGTCCGAAGAGCTGGCTCGGACTTTGTTGCGGCTGGCTGGATTGGCCAGCTCGGTGGAAAGGTCAAGACCACCACCGACGCCAAGAGCAAGGATGCAAGCGCCGACGCGATTCGGGCTGTCATGCGTTGGATGCAAAGCTCGCTTGTCTGAACGAAGTCCAATCAGATTGAATAAATTCGAGCGCATGAATGTGGCGGTTTTTTTAGTCTGAGAACATGACGTTATCTTGGCGTTGCTGGCTCAAAGCGCCCGCAAAGTCCCAACTGTCAGCCTTCATTCGGCTGTTCTCCTGTCCAACACTAGCTTTGAATCTCGTTGGCATGTGACGTTCCGATGGACGATCAGCCACTCGGTAACCGAGGTGCCGGGCAACAAAGGCACAGCTTGAACGCCCAGCTCGCTCACATCCAAGTGGCTCAAGGATCAGCACAAGGTCCTTAAGCACGGCACGAGTTTGAATTCTACTGATCCCTTTTCGGCCATCAAATACGTTCTACCAGTCCGTTGATGATCTGCTGCTACAGCCGACGAGCTCATTCGGGCCTTCTCTTGGCTCGGATATAGAGGTTGGTTGGTCGGATGAGCTGGAACTCTGGATCGTACTCGATAGGTTCGTCGCCCACTTGGCAGATGTCGTAGTATCTGACAATCGTAGCCAGGAACAGTCGAAGTTCCTGCAGTGCGAACGCGAATCCGATGCAAGATCGGCCTCCTGCAGCGAAAGGCATGTACTCGTATCGCGACGGCTTAAAGTCCGGCGTCCATCTCTCTGGGTCGAACCTTTCCGGATTGTTCCAAATCTTGGGATGGTAGTGGATCGAATAGAGCGCAGAGATGACCACATCACCTTTGTTGAGCACGTACCCGCCGGGCAGGACGACGTTGTCGACCTGGGCGGTGCGTCCCGGTGCGAAACTGGGACCGTGCATTCGAAGGGTCTCCTTGAGGAACTTTTCCAAGTAGGTCAGCTTCTCAAGCACGGCCGGGGTGAATTCGGTGTCCTTGGTGATGTCGTTGTCGACCAGCTCTTGCAGCATCTTGTCTTGGCAATCCGGGTACTTGGCCAGGGCGTAGAGGAGCCAAGCCATGGCTGATGAGGTGGTGGTAAATCCGGCACCCACCAGCACACCGAGGTTGGCAAGCATCAAGTCGTGCGGGATCTTGTCGCCGTTCTCGTCCGCAGCGCGGAGGAAAAAATCGGCGAGACAGTCAGCATCCATAGCAGCAGTCTCAAGGTCGAGATCCGGGCGTGGATTCTTCTCGTGATCGTCCTTGATGAGCTGGAGTTGCTTTTCGAGCAGCTCATGAAAGTGACCCGAGCTGTCCCGCAGATGCTTGCCAGGACCGAAAGGCAGCTTGCCGAACCATTCACCTCGGGAGGTGACCTGCTTGTTGTACCCCAGAAGGGCGACCATGTCGGTCACCAGGTCGTCAAGAGGAGATTCAGGGCTGTCGAGGTGGTGAAGGTCGCGCATCAAGGTGAACTTGCCGATCACCTGGGATGCGATCTTGAGCGTCAACGAGTAGGCGTTGAAGGATTCGTCCCTGGCATCCAGAGTGTCGAGAACACCGAGTACCTTGACCAGCTCATTGTGCGTCATTTTGGCGTAGTGCGGGATGGCTTTACCAGTCTGCAATACGGAGATAAGACGTCAGAGGAATGACAGCGAAAAAGCGTAAGGACGCGCCGCCTATGAACGGTTTCGTGACAAGGACAGAAGATGACTGGCACTTACCATGGAGGCACTGGCATACTTGTGGCCGACGACCCAGTTCTTGTTGGTGTCGCCGAGGAAGACGGCGTCATTGTTGCGAATGCCGTACAGGGGATGGTTCGAATTGATCTCTTTCGAAAAATAGGGACTTTCGATGAGGATTTGCTCGGAGACACTGGGGCTGTTGGTGAGGTAGACGACCTTGCCCATCACTTCGGTCTTGATCACGTCGCCATACTTGCGGAACAGACGTCCGTGGTTGTGAAGATGGTCGGGGTAGATCTCATAGTAGTTGCCGACGACAGGCAGCGGCGCAGGACCTTGCGGTTTGCGGATGGCGTGGCCATCGATAGCGACAGCCACGGCATCCGGGTGCTCCACAACATCCTCTACCTTCTCCAGAACGTCGCCCTCGGACGTCGTGAAGCTGACCGACTTGTAAGTTGTGATGTCGAGTGCCTTGGCGACTTCGATCTGCACTTTCTTGAAGCTTGCCGAGGTTGGTACAGCGACTTCCTTGGCAGTCGACGGCTTTGCGCCGAGCAGGTGGAATCGTTGAAAGGCCATGGTGACAAGCGGTCGGAAACGCAGTGATAGGCTGGAACAACGCTGCGAGAGTTGAGGCGCTTCGAACGAAGGGATCGCCGGTGGAGGTCGTCGTCTTATAGGCTAACTGAATAGCTGACCATGGCAAAGAGAGGCCTTGCGACCCTATGAGCTATTGTTCACACCAGCCCTTATGCAAATACGCTTACTCTACGATCAAGGAACCCGTCACCAAATCGACCCGCTCCGCACGGTCGGTAAGGCGCGCTGACTGGGCCGACGTGCCGGCGAGACTGCTGCCGGACAGAGCCGGTCTTCAAATCAGTCTGCATACTCCTGGTACTGATGCTGCGCCGATCCGCTGCTGGCATTGCTTCACCGAACACGTCCGATGTGAGCTGTGTGAATCAGATCCGTCGGCAGGGTCTATAGGGTAGCACGTTCGAGTTTTGGTGGCAAAGATGACGACCCGTACCTGTCGAAAATGCGGGTCGACGTCAAAAAATTCGAATACTCCATGGACCCAGATTCGGATCGAGTTAGCTTTGGAATCGCAGCCGGCTTCTTCACTGCCGGATCGATTGAGCCAGTAACATTGCATCTCAATTCGGGCACGACTATTCTGCTGGAACGTTCAAGAGAAGCTTGCCTGAGTCCGGGCATTCTGAGCCAGTGACCTCCGGCGTTTCTCGTCCAGAGGACTGCTCTGCAAGAATAAGCATTTTTGGTGCAGAGACGCCAGCCTGTAAACGAGAGCGGCACGCTGGAAATTGTATATCAACAAGGCAAGTCATTCCGACATTCTCACTCGAGCCCAATCCACCTGGCACTCTGAAGCCCCGCTATACGCCTAGCCGTCGCAACAACTTCATCATGGCCGAAAAAGAGCTCAAAGAGATCAGCAAGGCTGAACTGGCCAAGCACAACACCAAGGAGGATCTCTGGTTCATCATTCACAACAAGGTGTACGATGTTACCAAGTACCAGACCGAACACCCTGGTGGAATCGAGGTGCTCATGCAACTCGCAGCCGACGACGCCTCGGAGATGTTTGAAGCAACGGGGCATTCCGATGAAGCCAGAAAGAAGCTCGACAAGCTCATCGTAGGCCAGCTTCCAAGTGAAGACCGAGAAGACGACGTCGAAGTCTTCCACAAAGTATACCCGGACACGCATAACCCTGATCTCAAGCCGCTCGGCAAGGAATCTTACGCTCTCTTCTTGGGGCTCACGGGAATGGTCGCATACTGTACATCCAAGGTGTCCTCCCGCTACCACCTTGGTCAGCGCTTCCGCCACTTGCTCTCACAGCCCTTCAACCAAGGTGTTTTGATCGCCTTTGTCGTCTCGGGCGGCATCGGCGGGTATGTCCTGTTCAAGAGCATCAAGTACCTCATCCCACAGTCTCATCCGAAAGGCGGACCCACCTATCGCCCAGACGATCAGCCACACGTGGCTCGCAAGACGCACGCGGTGCCCAAACGATCTCGAGACGTCTGCCCGCTCAGCAAGACCGAGAGCAAAAAGCTTTTGCTGCAGGACAAGCAGCAGCTGTCGCACGACACCTGGCAGTTTACCTTTGCACTTCCTCGAACGGACAGAACGCTTGCCATTCCAGTTGGTGCCCACGTTGTCATCGAGGCAGAGATCAAGGGGAAGAAGGTTACGCGCTCCTACACGCCAGCCTCATCTCCGACGACCGTGGGGACGTTCGATCTAGCTGTCAAGGTCTATCCCGACGGCAAGATGGGCACATGGCTCCGGTCTTTGACGCCCGGCAAGGACTCGGTGGCCCTGCGTGGACCGAAGGGATCGATGGACTACCACCGCGGCTGGGCCAAGTCGATTCTCATGATCGCTGGCGGTAGCGGTATCACGCCCATGTTCCAGCTCTTGCTCTCCATCTGCGAGGATGAAAAGGACGAGACCAAGATCGTGCTGCTCTTTGCCAACAAGACCGAGGAGGACATTCTGCTCAAGGACCAGCTCAATGCTCTTGCCGACAAGAACAAGCAGCTCGAAATTATTCACGTCCTCAGCGACCCCGACGAAAGCTGGGAGGGTCCGAAAGGATTCATCACCAAGGACATCATCAGGCCGCATGTCTCTGATCCCAGCGACAAAGAAAACAGGGTCCTTCTCTGTGGTCCTCCGCCCATGGTTGACGCCATGAAGAAAGCAACCGTGGAATTGGGCTACGACACTGCCAAGCCTATAAGCACGATGAAGGATCAAACCTTTGTCTTTTAATCCGACCGCTGTGAACTTTGCCTCTAAATCAATATGCTTTCGTTTCCAACCAATTAGCATGAGACTGTATGCAGACGGTCTCGGGCGAGCGAGCGTGCTGGCTGCACGGTATGCGAAGGTGAAAGAACCTGAAGGACGAAAGCGGAAGCTCACAAGAGCGGCCCACTTGGTCCTCAAAAACAGATCCTGACCTCGCTTCGTCTGCTCAAGCAGACAATGTATGCACGGATGCTGCTGGCTCATCCATGCAGCCGCCGGCTGATGCTATTGCCGAAATGGGCCCGGACAGAAACTTCCCGACCGCCACGTGTCGGAGAAACGCGCGTTCTCCACGGCGAAATTATTCTTTTTTTGGCAGCGTGATTTCAAACACCGTCAAATGCGGTGTGAGCGAATCGTAAGCGTGAGCACCAGCGTCTGGCGGCGATGGCGTCCGCCGGCTATGTGAATGGCCGTAGCCAATTGCTCGGCAAGATGCACAATTGTGTCCAGCCGAAGGGTCTTTTGTCGTCCCAAACGTCGACCGGCATGACAAGACCGACCCTGTACGTTCTGTAGAAAACAAGGGCGGTGCATGATGCCGTCATGTACATTGTTCCAGGGTGTTGGTTCCGGCTTGGTTGCAACCCGAGACCGGAATATGGATGGCTGACCCAACTTTTCAGCCTGAGATTCCGTACATCGCTTCCGGCTACGCTGATTTACCGCGCCTCACTAGCGTCTCAGATAGCCTTGCGGTGAGCAGATCACAGGATCCTTTGCAATGTATCTGGCGTGTTCTCGGATGGTTGTCATCAAAATTTGCCAACAAGAACATCATCGAGGCGATGCCTCTGTCGGGAAGGAAACGCGTTGAATCGGTCGCTGCTCTCCGCCGGCACGTTGATTACATTCTGTCATCCTCTTGCATTCTGTCGGGCCGGGACGCTCCGCGTCGAACGCTCGCGCGACACATGATTGATGAGTGCGTCGGGCAGAAGCTAAGCAGGAGCAACGTGCGCTAGTCACGCACTTGCTTCCTCTGCATCCCTCTTCCCTGGAACATATATACAACTTGCCTCCCGACCATTGTTCGTGGCTGATCGTGTATTCCACAACCGAGCTCCGCCTTTCCCACTACAGAAAATCGTCGAAAGCTTGCGCCACAAGAATGTCTCGGATCGACACCAACGTCGAGGGCAGGGCTCACACCATCATTGGTGCCGGCACCCTCGGCCGCAGGATCGCACTCATGTGGATCACCAACGGCGGCCTCGTCCACCTGTTCGACTCGAACGAAGCGGCACTGAAGAGCGCAGAGGAGTACATTGAAGACACCTTCCCCGAAGTGGAGGCCAACATCCTTCCTGGTACCCCTAAGGGCGAGCTTAAGCTGTTTACGGATCGTGCGAAGGCCCTGGAGGGCGCTTGGCTGGTGACCGAGGCTGTGCCAGAGGTTCTTCAGCTCAAGATCGACCTGCTCGGCGACCTGGACAGCGTCGTGTCTCCGAATGTCATCATCGCTACTAACTCGTCCAGTTACACCTCCACCGAGATGATCGAGAAGGTCAAACACCGCCACCGCATCGTCAACACGCACTACTACATGCCGCCTGAGGCGCTGCCCGTCGAAATCATGCCCAACCGCTGGACCGACGAGGCTGTTGCACAGCTGTTGATCGAGCAGAACAAGCGCCACGGCTTCATCCCTTTCCACGTTCGCAAGGAGTCGGTCGGCCTCATTGCCAACCGCATCTGGGCCGCCATCAAGCGCGAGAGCCTCTACACATATGCTGAGGGTGTTGCTGAGCCAAGCGAAATCGACAGCATCCTCGAAAAGGTGTTTGGTTTCTACCACGGCCCTTTCCAAGGAATGGACGGTGTCGGTCTCGACGTCGTTAGGGATATCGAGATGCACTATCGAACGCTTCGTCCTGGTCTACCCGACCTCGTCATCGAATGCCTGGACGAGAAAATCAAGCAGGGCAAGCTCGGCGCCAAGACGGGCGAGGGGTTCTACAAACACTCTAAGAAGCCTGCTGCCGACGCTGCGCCTTCCAAGCGCATCGTCTACCTGGATATCATCGAGGGAAAGATGAAGTCCGTCGACACCGACGGCAAGGCCAAGAAGGCTCTCGTCGACGGGCTCAAGTTCATGCCTGATGGCGTGCAGATCGACTCGAAGGGCGTTGCCTACTTTACCAACATGGGCGCAAGCGCCGCCGAAAACGACGGCAGTATAGCTCGTGTGGACCTGACAAAGGACAGTCCGGAGGTGACCTATATCGTCGAGCCGGGTCAGACGCACACGCCCAAGCAGATTCAGCTGGACGAGGCCAACGGCAAACTGTACTGGTGTGACCGCGAGGGTGGTCGGATTCAGCGATGCGACTTGGATGGTTCGGGCCTCGAGACGCTCTACGATGCTGCGCCAGGCGAGGCGCGCCCTCTCCAGGATGGTACAAAGTGGTGCGTGGGCATCGCCATCGACACCAAGCGCGGCCTGGTCTACTGGACGCAGAAGGGTAGCAGCAAGGGCTGGGTCGGACGCATCTTCCGCGCCAGCATCGAGCTACCCTCTGGCGCTACCGCCGAGAAGCGCACCGATGTCGAGACGCTCTTCCACAACCTGCCCGAGCCCATCGACCTGGAGCTGGACTTCGCCTCGCAGAAGCTCTTCTGGACCGACCGTGGCGACCCTCCTTTCGGCAACTCGCTCAACTCGGCCGACGTCTCGGCACCGCTCGACGCGTCCAACGAGCCCAAAGAGATCAGCCGCGAAAACATCGTTGCCGAGCGTTTCCACGAGGCTATCGGCCTCGCCCTGGACCGCGAAAACAAGATCGCCTACGTGTCGGATCTTCTCGGAAGCTTATGGTCCGTAGGCTTCAATGGCGAAGGCCGCACGCAGCTACTCGCCGACGACGGCAACTTTACCGGCATCGCCCTTGCCCCCAAATTCCGCCGCTCTTGATCCTCTAGCTAGCTCGTTGATTGTTTGTCGATTCCGAGCTTTGAAAAAACTTCTTGTCTAATCATCGTAATCGCAAGTCCTCGCTATGAGCGTGTCAGTCAGAGGGTCAGGGCTGGCTGTTCTCCCGTCCAACACTATCAGCTTCAAGTCTCGATGTCCTAATCCTGCCCGCTTTACAAACGATCGGACCAGGACATGGTCTAGAGCTTTGGAAAGCGAACATTGGAAGTCTGAGCACCAATCGTAGTGGTCACTAAGCCGGCTACGTAGCCGGTTGGCGATGAAGCTCTTTGAACAGCTGCGCGTGCTACATACAGATAAGAGGTTCCCCCTCTCTTGAGACAAAGCTGTATCCCTGCCGAGGCACATCCTGTTCTGCCTCCTCCGACACGTCTTTTCCGGCACTTGGAACAGCTCAAACTGCAGCATTGGCCCAAGTGGCTGTGTGCAAGCTTTCGTCACAACAAGACTGAGTATTGTAATCACTAGACCGGACACGGTGGTCTCGAGACGCCAAATGCCGGACACACCAGCGGCAAAGGCATGCGTCGAGTTGCGCAGTCGGGAAGCCTTCAAGGAAGTGACGCAGAAATCTCAATTCTCAAGGCAGGGCAACTCGAGCGCCAGCTCAGAACCATATTTTCAGGTGTTCTCGAGAAGAAGCCATGTGCGTCAATCTATGGAGGGTGGTAGCATTGAGTCAAGCAGCGGACCGCGAGGTTTCCGGTGGGTTTGAGCAGGGTGTTGGGGGGTGGGGGGAAGACACCTGGCGGAAGGAAAGACTGGGCATAGGCGAATCGGCGACGGCAGACCTGGTGAGAAGGCATCAGATCGAGATCATATCGAACACCGGTCGAATGACGATGCAACACTGCAGCCGAAGCTCTATCAAATGCGTCCCTGAACATGAGCGGAAGAACTGCACATCTCCCGGGCCGATCTCCCGGGCTCTGTGGACACTCGGCCCGGTCAATCCGACACGGCGAGACCAATTGAATGGAATCTTGTTTACTAGTACTGAACCCTCTTCGCACAACTCATCCCTGCGGATCGGTTGATCTCCGAGGATTACGCTCGTGCTTCAATGCCCGGAACAGGGAAGCCGAAAATCGCGCGGAACGAAAATGGTGGTTCGAGCACCAGCGGGTAATAGTAGACTAGCTTCCTTTCCCGTGTCTCTTTTGCCCGTCTTCATACGACGTGCGGTGGTCGTCTTTTCGAGTGACGAGTGACACAGAACCCATCACCTGCTGCTACCTTCGCTTCTGTCTGCGAGTCGACAACAAGCCATGGCATCAAGATCTGCCACCCAGCGCGACTTCGCTTGCAAAACACATGCACAGAGCTACCCCTTCATCTCACCTCTCAAGCTCAACCTGCGTGGTCTACACGTACTTGTCACCGGAGCCGCATTCGAAGACGGAGTTGGTTTTGCGGTCGCCACAGCATTTGCTCGAGCTGGGGCATCTCGCATTGCTTTGATCGATCTGCACGGTGTCAACGAAGCGCTGACCGAGAAGCTCAAGGCAGCGGCTGTTGAAGCAGGACGTGTGGAACCAGTCATCATCGTCGGATGCGTTGATATCTCCCAGCAGCAAAGCGTCAACACTTTCCAGAAGCGTCTGTCAGACAAACTCGATGGCCGTCTTGACATTCTGGTCAATAACGCAGCCCACCAAGAGCCTTACGCGTCCTTTCTCGAGTCGGACCCCGAGCAATACTCGAGGACCTGGGATGTCAACGTCCACGGCCTCTTCAACATGGCTCGCGCTTTCTTGCCGATGATGCTACCTCGGGCAGCCGAAGAGCAGCGGAGGAATGCACTGATGATCAATGTCGCCTCCTCCGGCGCACTGTCAGTTCGAGCAGGTAGCTCAGCGTATCGGACTTCCAAACTCGCCATCCTTCGTTGGACAGAAGCGATCCATCTGGAATACCGCGAGCAGGGCCTGACCGCTTTCTGCGTCAATCCAGGCGCAATCAAGACTCAGATGACGGTCAACGAACCAGAAGAACTGCGTAATCGGCTTCCCCATAAGCCCGAAATCGCCGGTGATACTATCGCTTGGCTGACCAGCGAATCCAGGACTTGGTTGGGAGGAAGATACGTCAGCTGTCCTTGGGATATGGAAGAACTGCTGTCAAGAAAGGACGAAATACTGGGCGCAGACAAGTTGAAAGTCAGAATGTTGTATTGATTCATAGGGCAATGAAAGAGCTAAAGGATGGTGACACCCTTATAGATTAATAACGTTGAGGATTTGCCGGAGAACGTAAAGGTTAGGGTTAGGGTTAGGGTTAGGGTT